CGTTATCCCGACGGGCGCCAGGGCCCGGTCTCCAAGGCTCTTGTAGGGGCTGGAGGCGGCTGCAGGTGACGGCACCTGGCGCTCTCCCGGCCACAGCCCTTCCGGCCTCTGCCCCGGCGCTGTTCCCGCAGAGCGCGCCCTGTTGTTACTGGTGCACAGCAAGTTGTGGCTTGTGGTGATGGTGGGGTTGGCAGCACCGGCCAAGGCAGGTTCTGCGAGGAGGCTGTGGTTTCAGGAAGGCTGAGGGTGGGCAGTGCCAGGAGCAGGCAGAGCACAGGCCCTGAAGCCAGCGCGCACTCAGTTCCCTGCGTCCGGGGCTGTCCGAGGTGTTCGGGCCCTGCCCTCTGGCCTCCCTCCTCCTTGTACAGCCTGTAGGGCACTGCCCCAGGGCCTAGAATGGAGCCGTGAGCCTGCAGGGCCAGGAGGGCCCTGCGATTCCAGGCCGTCCTCCATCCCTAACCAACTCCACCTGGAGCTCAGTCCTGGACCTTAAAGGCACTGGAAACGGGAGGGAATGAGGAAAAGGTCGCACTCCTGATCCGTGCAGAACGCGGCTGGGGGTGCCCTCACGTCCCCGCAGGCTGCACTCCCCACCCAGCCCAGCGCTGAACCTGAACGTGACACAAGGTGGTCGTGGGCATGTTCTTAGGAGCCAGGCTAGTGGCATGAGGAAAGGGGTGGTGGGCCAGCTGGCACTTCGCCCCCTGCAGGAAGCCAAGCCCACCCTCCCCCTCCCCGTCCCAGCCCCGAGAGAGGAACACAAACACCAGGATACAGGAAGTGTAGAAAACTGCCTTTATTCTATTAGTAGTTGGAAAAATTAACTGGTACAGAAAACAGTTCAGTCAGCGGGAGGAGAGCCCGAGCGCACAGAACTGGTGGCTCCCCCGGAGGGAACCTGGCACAGCGAGGAGCAGGGCGACCGAGAGCCAGGCCCGCAGTCCAGGTGCGACAGCTTGTGCCGCCTTCGGAAGCGACTACATTCCTCAGGCACGGAACCAAATTCCTGTTTATTTAGCCCAGCTCTGGGGAGGGGACTGGGATATGTGGGGTGAAAACGGGTGATATGGCCATCTTTTATCAGAGAAACCGACAAAGCGGGAATTTTAAAAATGAATCTTCCATCTGACTTTATTTTCAAATACACTTTCTTTTTTAAAAAAACCAATACACTTTCTGTGGGGATGACAAATATCAGTATTAGGAAATCCAATTATACAAAAAATACTACATCTAGTTTGGGTAGATATATTTATTTTTTGGTAACATACATTAGGTGGCACTAATTACACAGTAACTATAAGGTAACTAACATGAAACCACAGAACTGTAACTGCCACAGCTGCAGGCCCGGGCCTCTGCTGAGCACATCTGAGAACTGGATGCCCGCTCCAGAGGCACAAGGAAACCTGCTCAGGAGTCAAGCCCTGAAGGGGTAGCTCCCAGAGTCCCTTGCAGCTGACAGATGACAGGCAAGCACGTCAGTTATGAAGTAGTTACAGCCTAACTCACAAAAGTTACCATTTCTCTTTCTAGAAAGAAGCAAGAAGTGAAGGGATTCCTCGAATTAGCGCCTGTGTATCGGGTGGGGGTGCAGAGGAGGCGGTTAGAGCGGTGGCAGAGGACCCGCGGGCCAGATCATTAATAATCATGGTTGGCTTCTAAATACTGGTAGCAAGATGACTTCTGATTTGTAATCTTAGGTAAATTATAGATAAATGAAAAAGGCCAGGAATCATACACTAAGATTAATAAACAGCACTTCAAAAGGAACCGCGTGAGGGCTGTGCTTGCAGCGGGCTCACAAAACAAGGCACCCGGATTTCTTCTTCCCACGCCTGGCCTGCAGAGCAGCTCTCGTGGCCATTTCGAAAACCTCCCTCACTCCGTCTTTGGTCTTTGCTGAGCACTCCATGTACCCAAAAGCGCCAATCCTGTTTGCCATATCTCTGCCTTCTTCCGGTTTTACTGGCTCCTAGCAGAGAGAGAAGAGTGTTATATACATACAGTGAGTAGGTGTATTTAATTTCAGCTAAGACCTCTTTTAAAAGCTACCAAATCCCCAACTCTGAGTTCTGTCTATGAAATTCTTATGTAGTGAGCCCCAACCCAATATAGTGTCCCTCTCACACGAGCTCTTCTCTGGGGAGAGGCCAGAGAAGCCCTGTAGGTTAACATTAAGGAGGGACTGGAGGACGCAATGTCTCAAGCTGCTGATCCAGACAAGACCCTGGTCCTCCTGTAGCTTCCCAGAGGACGAACGCCCCGGGAGAAAATAGATCCTGACCTTGACATTCAGACAGAGAAACCCCAGTGGGAGAACCTGGGGTGAAGACCTCCAGACTCTCCTCCTGCCATGGGGAAGCCCCGCCATTGGGCCACCTGGCTTCTCCATCATCACCTTTTAAAGGCATCGGGGCTCTTGGCCTCGACTGCCCGCCCTCAGAACTTCCTGATCCTTCAGTTGCCACCAATTTATTTTGGCCTCACATATACCAAGGTAATAACTGAAGAGGGAAATCCAGAGCCTGGTAAAGTTCCTGCACTTGGAGCATTGACGCCTGCTGTGACGGGCCCTTCCGAGGCAGGCAGTCCGGGGAGCGTAGCACTACCTCACGGGAGATTCCATCTCATATGACCAGACCCCAGGCAATAAGGACCAGATGGAGAGAGAGGTTTCTGTTGGGCTCCCTTAACCACCATTTGGGTCCTCAGGTTCAAGAATGCGACAAGACCTGGCCAGTGTGGCTGGGTTGGTTGGAGTGCCATCCTGTGCACCGAAAGGTGGTGGATCTGATTCCCGTTAGGGTGTGTGCGATCAATGTCTTCTCCCCACCCCCACCGCCACCCCCACTCAATGAAAACATATCCTCAGGTGAGGATTAAAAAAAGAAAAAGAATGCTACAAGACGACAGAACCCTGCCCCGTCCATGCCTGCTTCATCTTGGCTAGCTCCCGCCTTGTGTGCTCATCATTTCGAAGATCCTTCTTGTTCCAACCAGGATGATGGGCACATTGGGACAGAAATGCTTGACTTCCGGAGTCCATTTTTCTGGGATGTTTTCTGAAAATAGTGAAATGCACATAATTCAGGGATACATAAAGTTGTATCGTTAAGAATCTCCAAGATCCCTAATTAAACTGTGTGAATATGTCTCTCTCCTCCGCGTGCAGCACGGCTAGAGAGCAGTCCAGTTCCTGAGTAGGGGTGGCTGGGGATTGAGAAAATGAAAGAAAGGGACAGACACAGAGATGGAAGGAAAAGCTGGGGCCGGGTGGAACCGCTGTCCTCTGATGCAGACAGGGACAGAGACAGCCAATACAGCGTGTTTATTTTATACAGCAAAAAACCAGGAAGTTTTACCAAAAGTCAAGACAAAGGAGATTCTTTGCATTCTTGGGGCTTGGCTAGATTTAAATAACAAAACCCACCCCCTGGCACCTGGGCTGAAGGTCAAGCTGACAACACTCCTGCCTTTTGGCAAAACGTGTTTCCAGGAGTGGCTTTGCCAAACGCCACTGGCTTCAGCTGACGATAATTACAGAAATGCCCATGTGCCTTCCCAGGTGCTCTCTACAAAACTGCAAAGAAACTACTTCAGAATTATGCTGGCCATTTAATGGAATTTCACTAGTTTTAAAACTAGTTTTAATTTTGCCAGGAAAAGGCAAAATTTAACTCCCTACCATTAGGCACAGAATCACCAGCTGTTGTCAGTCCCACTACGAAGCACAGCTCCTGTGGAGGTGGGGCCCAGGGAAAGACCCCGGAGCAGCAAAGGATCCGTGTGCCCAGGGTGACTCCACAGTGGTGCCACCTGCCCATCACCATCCCTGCTGGCAGGGGACTCTGACCACAGCCCCATTCTGGGGCTGCAGCTGGCCCAGCGTCCACATGTTCTCTCTACACCTTGCTCCTGGGCCCTCAGCATGTCCCTACCCTGTAGGTTACTGGTATTTCCAATGGCTCACAAGCTCTGACCATGCGTGACAGCAGCTGCGGCTTCCTGCCGGCCTGGAGTACGGCTGTATGGACATCAAGGTGGATGAGCGGGCTGGGTTCAGCCTCCACACCCTCACTTCGGACCCCTCAGTGTCAGGGATGGTTTATAAAGTGGGGACAGGAGTAATCCCTACCTCACACCGGTTATTCCGAGTCAATGCATGCAAAGCACTTAGTACGATGATGATTTCAATGGTGCCGATTGTGGTTTGAAACTATATTTTACAAGTAAGCTGCTCACTCTCTGACTTCAAGGCTAGTGCCTTGTTTTACAGAGTGTGAGGTCAGTATTAGTCATTTTCTGAAGGAGTGGCTTCTGAAACATGTGACCAACTGAGCTAATATGGCAGGGCCAAGTCTCTCATTATTAGCTAAGATGCTTTAGAAAAGGGCTAAGAGAGGACTTGAAAACACCACCGGAAATAGCAGTCCCCAGTCTAGATACAGGGAGGCCCATGAAGCACTAGAAAAGGTACAGGCACCCTGGAAAGCCTTCCCCCAATCTCAGTCCGAAAGCTAGTTCTGTCTTTGGAACTCGCCTGCTTCATAAAGTGGACACAGGGCAGCCACGGGAGACCCGGCTGAAAAGGCCCAGGGCCCAGGTTACACACACTCAAGGCTCTAGGACTCTGGCCACTGAGGAGTCCTTCTCTGATGCTCGCCTGCTTGATGCCCAGAAAGGACCTGAGAAACTCGGGGTCAGCCAGGCACACGGGCAGTGACAAACTTCAGGCTGCAGAGCTACTCACCTAAACTATCAGGGCTGTCGATGGAGAAACACATCAGGATAACATCCGTGTCCGGGTAGGAGAGGGGCCTCAAGCGATCATAATCCTCCTGTCCGGCTGTGTCCCACAAAGCCAACTCGACCTGTGGGAGGAAAAATAAATGCCCAAGTGCAAGGTTAATCCCACTACCCACTTTCGTGGCTTTCTGTGTGTATTTTTTAGAGAAAGGGAGGGAGAAAAATAGGGAGAGGGGGAAGGGGACAGGGATGGGGATGGGAGGGAGAGAGAGACATTGACTTTTTTGTTCCACTTATTTATGCATTCACTGTATGTGCCCTGACGGGATTGAACTCGCAACCTTGGTGTATTGGGACGATGCTCAAAACAACTTAGCTAATCCAGCCAGGGTTCACTACCCACTTTCAAAAGGGGATGTTGGCCCGGCCAGTGTGGTTCAATGGTTGAGCATTGACCTATGAACCAGGAGGTCACGGTTCAATTCCTGGTCAGGGCACATGCCTGGGTTGTGGGCTTGTCCCCAGTAGGGGGCCTGCAGAGGTGCTGATCAATGATTCTCTCATCACTGACGTTTCTATTTCTCCCTTTCCCTTCCCCTGAAATCGATAAAAATATATTTTAAAAAGGGGGGGGGAGGCAGATGTTTACCATAGTGAATTCAAATAGCAGACTGTCCAAAACAGTAAAACACAGGAGTGTTCCACTTTTATTAGAATCAAGCCTGAAGGTGGAAGGTGTGTTCAAGTTGTTTTAGGCTACATTCCTCAGAATTGCAATTTTACAAAGAGATCCAGAGAATGGAATAAAGTGCATAATTCAAAATGTCAAGAGAAAAATAACTTTATAGCCTATAAGAAGAATTTAACTATAAGTAACATTCAGTGGATGAACAAGAGGAGAAATCAAACTGTAAATAATATTCTACCTGGCGTACAAGGCAACACAAGTAAAAACCGAGCTGTAATTGGTGGTCTCCCCAACCACCTCCATTTGTCTGGTCACTCTGCCCCAAAGGAAAACATGGAGACGAGAATGTGCTTGCGCTGGAGGGTGAGGAAAGACACCAGCTGGGGTATGAGGTCTCAGCTGAGAGGAAGGCCTCTGGCCCTGCCTTTACTGCTCACAAAAATGTCAGAATGAAAGCGTCACGTAAGGTGGGAGGACACTCCGCTCACGCCTGGGCTCTGGGCATGGGTCCTCTCTCAGGCTGCCCAGCACTGCAGCTGCCCTGCAACTTCTTCTGACCAGAGTGGATTTTAACTCCCTCTGTTCAGAGGCCCTTCGGGGCCCAAGGAGCTCTCCCTTTGATGCTTGGAATACCCTTTCCTCCCAGCACCTCCACAACCCTGCCTTCACTTTCTAAATGCCACCCCTTCTCTAAAGCGGGTGGCTAATTGTCTCTCCAACCCTCAGCCTCCGCCCCAGGGTGCTTCTGCCACCGCCGTCAGGCTCCTTGCACTGCCATCGTGGACACACCGTCAGCTTGGTGTGGATCGAGGAGAGACTGACCCCCAATCCTCACAACTGGCCTGACCTCAGGATGGTACAGCTCATTCACTCGCTTCCACATCCCACTGCCCGGCCCCTCCAAGCCTCCTGGGTGTTCAGTCGGACACACCCACCGTCTGTCTCCTGATAAATGGTCCAGGTGTGGATGCTGCTGAAGGTCTGTCGCATGTCGACATGGGCCTCCCCACTTTGGGGAGCCGTGTTCCTGGGACATGAGCACCGAGAATCTGATGGTTCCCAGGCGCTGGCAGTGCTCCTCTTCAGTGCCCCCTCCCACTGTGGGGCTACTGAGCCGCTGAGGCAGGAAGCTGGGCTGTGATCCCTCTTCCAGATCCAGCACCCTACTTAAGGGTGTGCTCTCCCTGCTGAGGGCTCGCCTACCTTGCCAGGTCCGGTATAGTCACAGCTGGCAGCGCAAGAAAAACTCAGACCATCACACAGGTTTTAAGTCAAGGCCCCTACATTTCTCATGGATAAGATCCTCCAGGTACAGACAGTGCTTCCAAGAGAACAGAAAGGCCATTACTGGCTCCAAAACATGCGCACTGACTTTCCCAACCGAGGCCACAGGCACAGAGCACCCGACAGCTACTCTCTCTGCAGGGAAGGACAGGATAAAACCAGCAATATGCACGCACCAGGCATCTGAGAACCCAACCTGACCTGCTTCCCCTCAAGCCTGGGTCTCTGTGTTGTGTGGCATCTCAGTGGACAAGAGGCTGCTACAGGACAGCAGGTGCCAAGGTCTCAGCACATTTCAGGCCAATTTGTCACAATTGGGCTGGTGTCTACACAAAACCACTCTTCCAGGCTCCCAGAAACACTTGTATCCAAGCATCACTGCAGAGAACTGATTCAGGTTATACTGGCAACACTCTGTACTGACGGACCCCCTGCAGGACAGGCCCCAAAGTTCTGCCAGGCTGAAATTTACTGTTGCCCCTCCCCCATCTATTTTTTTTTTAAACATATTTTTATTGTTTTCAGAGAGGAAGGGAGAGGGAGAGAGAGATAGAAACATCAACGATGAGAGAGAATCATTGATTGGCTGCCTCCTGCATGCCGTCAACTGAGATCGAGCCCGCAACTGAGCACGTGCCCTGACCAGGAATCGAAGCAGTGACCTCTTGGTTCATAGGTTGATGCTCAACCCCTGAGCCACGCTGGCCGGGCCCCCATCTCTTCTTGACCAGAAAGGTGCCTTGTGCTTCCTAAAGGCATGAGAGCATCACTGGGACCCACAAGGCAATGGGATAAAATGGGCCACAGGCTGCAACAGGAGGTTTGAATTCAGCCCAATTTGTAAAGTGCTTTGGTGCTTCCAAATGCTTTCAGCTACTAGAACCCTGACGTCACCTGCAAAATGAAGGCGACTCAAGAGTCAGGTGGCTTACTCATGATCACAGACTATCAGGACATCCCATGAGACCTAGGATTCTGAGCAGCTAGCCCAGCCGTGGGCAAACTACGGCCCGCTTGAAATGAATAAAATTAAAAAAAAAAAAAAAAAAAGACCGTACCCTTTTATGTAATGATATTTACTTTGAATTTATATTAGTTCACACAAACACTCCATCCATGCTTTTGTTCCGGCCCTCCGGTCCAGTTTAAGAACCCATTGTGGCCCTTGAGTCAAAAAGTTTGCCCACCCCTGAGCTAGCCTAACGTGCTTTCCACACAGGTGCCACACACTGGGGCTAAGTAACACTGGACAGAAAGGGACAGTAGGGAGCTGGAAAATGAGAAGGGAGAAAGGAGATGGAATTATGAAGCCAACTTAATAGGTGCCAGCAGCACAGCCACGTGACTGAATGCCCCAGAGGCCCGAGTGTGCTGGAGAAGAGCCCCTTGTTCTAGTTTTCTTTTCAGCTGACCAGTCTGTACTGAGAACTTCATTCCTCCCTGCAGGAAAGATGTAATTGAGTCAACAGCGGCAACTTGTCTTTGTTAAAGACAAAATATTTTAAAAATTAAATTTGAGGCATGGCCAATGTAGCTCAGTGGCTGAATGTCAACCTATGAACCAGGAGGTCACTGGTTCAATTCCCAATTAGGGCACATGCCCTGGGTTGCGGGCTCAATCCCCAGTGTGGGGCGTGCAGGAGGCAGCTGATCAATGATTCTCTCTCATCATTGATGTTTCTATTTCTCTCCCTTTACCTTCCTTTCTGAAATCAATAAAAAAATCTGTAGACTTCCAATAAAAATAAAAATTACATATGAGGATGTTTGTTGTCTAAATGCCACACTGCTGATGGTATAACTCTGAGAGTCATAATGAATAAGGACCTCTCAACCTAGTAATCTCATATCCAGCACTAAATATAGCCGAAACAGCACATATACTAAGGTTTTCCCAAATGAAATACATATGAATATGGACAATTTAAAAATGAACAAAGTTGGGCTATGAAAACAGGATGAGAATGAAGTTCTCATTCTAACATTTTTGTTCTTGTTATACTGTGTACTGAAGAGACAAAAAGGCCCGATTCTCTCTAGACTACATGAATAGCCTAACATGCAAAATTAGTACCATTGTTATGGAAAGTGGACTCACCTGCTTTCCATCCACTTCAATGTCTGCCACATAGTTCTCAAACACCGTAGGCACATACACCTCTGGGAACTGGTCCTTGCTAAAAACGATGAGCAAGCAAGTCTTGCCACAGGCTCCATCACCAACAATCACCAATTTCTTCCGGATGGCAGCCATTGCTGAAACATAGACAAAGCATTATCTAGATTGCACACGAAGCCATAATAGCTTTAGGCTATGATTCACTTTTCCAACCATGGGGCACAAGCCTCTATTAGCACACCCAAATATAAAATACCAGTACATCTTTCCAGTTGGCACCAAAATATCATACCAAAGAACTTACAACAAACACTAGAGGCCCAGTCCATGAAATTCATGCACAGGTAGGGTCCCCAGCAGCTGCCGGCTGCCAGCTGGGACCTCCCGTCCCCTGGCTGCCTGCTGCCATCACTGGCTGGGGCCTCCCTTCCCACAGTTGGCCGGCTGCCCCCACCCTCTGGTCGAACTCCTGGTCGAGAGGACAATTTGCATATTAGGCTTTTATTATACAGGATTATACTTAATGGTAAAAAACCTGAAATCTTTCCCCCAAGATCAGGAAGAAGGCAAACATGTCCATGCTTGCCACTTCTATCCATCCAATATGATACTGGAGGCAATTAGGCAAGAAAATAAAAGACATACATATGGGAAAGGAAGAAATCAAACTATCTCAACTCACAGATGATAGATCTATACAATCCACTAAAAAACTATTAGTGCTAATAAACAAATTCAGCAAGGTTGCAGGATACAAGATGAACATACAAAAATGAATTGTATTTCTATACCCTAGCAATGAACAAATTGAAAATGAAATTAGGAAAACAATTTCACTTACAATACCATAAAAAAGGAATAAATTTAACAAAATAAGAACAAAACTTACTCTGAAAAGTACAAAACATTGTTGAGAGACATTAAAGAAGATCTAAATAAATAGAGACATGCAACACATGCAATACTTCCAACAATAAAGATTTTTAAAAAAAGAGACATTCATGTTTATGAAATGGAAGACACTATATTAAAGAACAAAGTTGCAGCCTCACACTTCCTGACTTTAAAACTTAATCCCCCCCTCACACACACAACAACCTACAGTCATCAAGACAGCATTTCACTGACACCTAGACAGACACAGATCAATGAATAGAACTGAGTCCAGAAATAAGCCCTTATATTTAGAGTCAAATGATTTTCAACAAAGATGCCAAGACAATCCAATAGAGAAAAGAAGTCTTTTAACTCAAGATGGATTATAGGTCCAAATGTAAGATCCAGAATCATAAAACAGTTTATTATATATATGTATCTATATATATTTTTTATTGATTTCAGAGTGGAAGGGAGAGGGAGAGAGGGAGAGAGAGAGAGAGAGAGAGAGAGAGAGAGAAACATCAATAGAATCATTGATCGGCTGCCTCCTGCACACCCCCTACTGGGGACTGAGCCTGCAACCGAGATATGTGCCCTTGACTGGAATCGAACCCGGGACCTTTCAGTCCACAGGCCAATGCTCTATCCACTGAGCCAAACCAGCCAGGGCCTGTTTAGAATCATAAAACAGTTTTAGTTTTTAAAAAATGTGATGAAATACACATAAAATTTACCATTTTAACAATTTTTTATTGTCAGTTTAGTGGCATTACATATATTCACATTATTATGCAACCATCACCACCATCCATCTCCAGGACTTTTTCCGCCTCCAAGACTAAACTCTATACCCATTAAACACCTAACCCTCTTTCCTCTCCCTCCGCCCCTGGCAACCACCATTCTACTTCCTGTCTCTATGCATTGTACTTCTCTAGCTACCTCATATAAGTGCAATCATACAGTATTTGCCTTTTTTTTTTTGACTGGCTTATTTTACTCAACATCAAATCTTGAAGGTTCAAACATGCAGTATGGGTCAGAATTTCCTTTCTCTTTAAGACTGAATAGCATTCCATTGTATGTATATACCACATCTTGTTCATCCATTCACCTCTTGATAGACACTTAGGTTGCTTCCACATTTCAGCTATTATACTATTTATTACAATATATTGTAAGCAGTATATTCACAGATATATTATCCCAGCAACCAAAGGAAAAAATAGGTAAACTGGACTTCATAAAAATTTTAAAAACTTGTGCAAGAGACACCATCAAGAAAATGAAAAGACAAAACCACAGAATAGAAGCAAATGTTTACAAATAACATTTGATAAGGGGCTTGTATCTAGACCAGTGGTCGGCAAACTGCAGCTGGCGAGCCACATGCGGCTCTTTGGCCCCTTGAGTGTGGCTCTTCCACAAAATGCCACGTGCGGGCATGCACGTACAGGGCGATTGAAACTTCGTGGCCCATGCGCAGAAGGCGGTATTTTGTGGAAGAGCCACACTCAAGGGACCAAAGAGCCGCATGTGGCTCGCAAGCCGCAGTTTGCCGACCACTGATCTAGACTATATAAAGAACTCTTACAAATCAACAACAAAGCAGCTGAGGAGGTGGTCTGGCTCAGGATCTTTTATTTCAGGGTCTCTCTTGAGGCTGCAGTTAAGATGTTGACTTGGATCCAGAATATATAAATAACTCATTAATAAAGACAAATAACCCAACTTAAAAATGGGTAAAGGATATGAATAGATATGACCCAGCAATTCTCCTAGATATTTATCCAAGAGAAATAAAAACATATCCACACAAAAACTTGTACATGGATGGTCATAGCAGCATCCATTATAGTAAAAAAGTAGAAACAACCCAAATATCCAATAACTGATGAATGGATAAAGATGTGATATATCTATACAAAATATTATTTGGCAATAAAGAGGGGGAGAAAGTACTGATACATGCTACATTTATCAGAATGGATGAACCCTGAAAACTTTACATATGTGAAAGCAGCTAGTCACATATTGTGTGCTTCTAATTTAATGAAATGTTCAAAACAGGCAAATGCAGAGCAGAAAGTAGAGTCCACTGGTGGTGGCCTAGGGAAAGCAGAAAGGAGAGGAAAAGACTAGGAATGACCTTTAAGGGGAACAGGGGAATAGTGGGGTTTCATTTTTGGGATAATGGAATTTTTCCAAAACAGCTGTGAAATGTCACACAACTCTATGAATACACTAAATACCACTGAATTGAACTGTACATTTAAAAAAATGTTTTCATTGATTTTTTTGTTTTTCTCATGCTCTCAATTTCCTGTCAAGATTTTTTATATGTACTTTATATATCTCCTCAGGACTAACTTGTATTGGTTTGTACCCAAAGTCAATCAGTCAAGACCTTACAGGATTCAAACAAAATAATTCCTCAGGAATTCCCTTGTTAAGAAAAGGCTGTAAACTTTGAATAGCATCTTTCCTGGAAGGCACTCAGTTCTCCAGAAATGGTCTCGCAGTCTAACATGGTTGAAGACACACACAAGGGAAATGCCAAGGAGCGACCGAAAGGCCCAGGAAATGTGTAAATCACCCAGCCTCTATTGATGACAAGACAGTAATTACAAGTGACTAGGGGACAAAGTGGAAATGAAAGCCTACCATGAGAAAGGATTTGTGGGATGCTGGGGTCTGGCAATACAACCAGAGTTGTTAACAAGAAATGAAAAGTACAGCCCATCTAGTGTGGTCAGGGGTTGAGCATCTGACCTATGAACCAAGAGGTCCCTAGATTCCTGGTCAGGGCACATGCCCGGGGTGCAGGCTTAATCCCCAGTAAGAAGTGTGCAGGAGGTAGCCAATCGATGTTTCTCTCTTTCTCTCTAAAATAAAATAAACTTTTTTTTTTTAAAGAGAGTCTCAAAAAAAAAAAGGCAGTTACTATTAGCAGATTCTGCCCAGGCCTAACCTAGGTCTCTAGCAACGTTCAATTCATACAGCACCGCCACCTGTTTGGCCCGCATCCCCTCATCTCCACTGGCTGCTCTCTCCCCGTCTACTATAAAGCGCAGGTGCTGCTTTAAACAATGTATCTTCCCACATCCATGCTTTCCTCTCTCTGTTTCAAAGAAAAAATATATCCATTTCTCCTGCTTCAGTTCTTCCAATCTGCCTTCTGCCCAAACTTCTACTGAAACATACTCTCAAGTCACCAATGAGAAGACTTGCTCAAAATCCAGTCCTCCTTCCCTTGCTACTTTTTGTTACAACCTTACCTCCCAATCCTTGGCCCGCCCTGACACATGCTCACATGCTGACTTCTAATTCTCTGTCTCCTCCGCTACAGCCTTCACACATGATTATTCCTTCCAAGCGCCCCCCCCCCATTCTCCTAATACCCATCTCTGAGGGCATCAATTCTTCAAATACCACGATTACCCTTCCCATTCCCATAGTCCTCATGCAGCTGAAGTCCTCGGCACTGCCTACCTGGGAGACGTCCCTTTAATCCTGACCTCGGAAATCACAGGGCAGGGCTGGGCCTGACATACGTGCAGGCAAATCCTCCGTTCCTATGCCCGAGCTTCAGCCCATCGTGCCTTCGTGCCTTCGCTCCAAGGCCTTCCAAAGGTCCTCAATGAAAAATTAGGTCAAGACACCTTAGCCTTGCCCTTAGGGTCCTCTAAAATTCTAACAGCAACCTTCCACCTTCTCTCCATTCCTGATCCCACACCAGGTGCCATTCACTGGCCTTGTCAAACTCTTCCACCTCAACTCAAAGCAATGCCCTCTCTGAAAAGTTATTCCCTTTCCCCAGAAAACAACATTTCACCTGCCCATCCAAAACCCGTACCAAGGCTCATTTCTGATCTTACATCCCCCACACTCAAAAATCAGATCTTGGCCCTGGCAGGTGTGGCTCAGTGGATAGAGCGTCGGTCTGTGGACTGAAGGGTACCAGGTTTGATTCCAGTCAAGGGCACATGCCCAAGTTGCAGGCTCAATCCCCGGTGGGGGGCATGCAGGAGGCAGCCGATCAATGATTCTCTCTCATCATCGATGTTCCCCCCCCCCTCTCTTTGAAATCAATAAAACTATTTTTTAAAATCAATAAACATATCCTCAGGTGAGCATTAAAAAAAGACTAATTCAATATCCTATATTTTTATTCCTTTAATCATTACTTTTCAAATAATTTAACGCTGTTAACCACCCTCCAGGTGATTCTGATACATGCTAAATTTTGAGAACCCTA